TGAGCTGAAAGGCCACCTTCACCTGAAAATGGCCACATATTTCTCTACAAATTGGTCTTATATCCCATACAAAACTCCAGAGTAGTTTTATATTTTAAAATCAAGGGTGAATCAAGTAGACGCCCTTTCTGACAGGCAACAGTTTAAACATTAAGTAAACAAATGCTACAATAGTAGCTTCTCTTTCTTCTTTCTGCACGCCCCCCCCCCTTATGCATATAGAAATGTCCATGCACACACACATGCCAGTGCTTCTAAAACTGAGGAGGATGGATCCCTTTGAGTTTTCATCTGATAATTATCCACATAAACCAGAGCTAGGAGAGCAGTCTAAGGGACCCTGATTGCGCTTAGATTTTTACTGAGTATCTGGGCAATTCCACATGATAGTTATAAAACCCAGCATTTTTTAACACTTCATCGAAATAACTTTCAGCCCCCAAGCAATTCTAGGTTTCCTCTAAGCTCAGGTCCTACTGGTAGTTTTTTCCCCCTCTCTCTCCACATAAATGAACAAGGACTCTTCCAAGAAAAAAGGTAGTGGGGCAGCTCCTCATGGATTCAGCAGGCATCTGCCTCAACAATGTTTTCTTATCCTCCTATAGATCGTGGTACAGAAAGGAGAGGAGCTGAATGGGTATGTCAAAGTCTACACTGGCCGCAAAGTGGGGCTCTTTCCCGTTGACTTCTTGCAGGAGATCTGAGGTCCAACCCTGACATTCACAAGGATTTCACAACCAGGGCCAGAGAAGGCCAGAGCGTTTCTTTGGAGAGAGATTACCAGCTGCCAATGCCTCTCTGCAAGGAAGCTGGGTTCTGCAGGCCTGTGGCCCAAGAACTAAGACATCGCCTGAGGGCCTGTATCAATGAGCCAGGATTCAAGGCAAGAAGTATATCATACTGCCATCTGAGAGGACTCAGTGCTTCTCTTGAACGCTGCAGTTTGCTGCTGGCAGATTCCAGAATGGGTTCAGCCATTGTCCCTTTATGAACTTGTCATGGAGGTGCTGGGATGCGGCCAAAGCCGCTCTACTTCTTGTCTGCAAAGAAAGTAGATAGTGATTGTATGCATGGATTGGCAGAGTTGACAAATGACAAGAGTCATTGCTGCTGCCTCCTGTAGGTGGCACTAACACGTGCATGCATTTACTCCAGGACATATGGCTGTCCCTTTGCTGGCAGGGGGGGAGCCTGGCTCCTAGTTTACTTGGATGGCTTCGATTCAGTTATGTTTTGCCAATATCTGTTACTGTTTTCTATCCCTCACTTGCTTATCTATGTTGATGTAAAGCAGCAAGTTTGTGGATTTGTTGTCAATTGCTGGGAGGCTGTGAAATTGCTCTGCTCCCTTAAATTGAAGTGATACTTATATCTCTCCTGTTATCTTCTTCCACTTTTTGTTTGTGTGTGTGTGCCTGTGTGCCTTTGAGTCATTGTTGACACTTGGCAACTGCCTGGACTAGTCCCCGCAGTTTTCTAGGCAAGGTTTTTCAGAAGGGGTTTGCCATTGCCTCCTTCCTAGAGCTGAGAGCGTGTGACTGGCCCAAAGTCACTCAGCGGGCTTTGTGTCTTAGGCAGGACTAGAACTCCTGGTCTCCCCATTTCTAGCCTGATAACCACTACACCAAACTGGCTCTTGTCCTCTTCCACTGCTTTCCTTCTATTATGAAATTATTACAGTTGGTCAGTCAGCCAGATGTTTAGACTAGATCTGGCATTTTTATCCGCCTATTGAGTCCTTCCCAAGGACTTGGGATAGGCAGATGTTGTTT